ATGGATGAATTTGCCCATACACCAAACCTTTCAGTAGCTCTACTAACACTATGCGATCTCTTTGTAGACGTTTCTGGTTGATCTTTAGCATCTGAAACTATTGCAATAAGTTCATCAATGGTAACTCGTTCATGTTCCTCATGTTCTTGATGCATCAGTGCTACTTCTTGTAACAGATCATTAGTGATATAATGATCAAACTTTCCCACAACGACATACGTGACTGAAGATTTTCCCTTGTCAGTACGAGGAGAATTAGAATTCTCCCCCTCTTTCAATAAGTCAAGCTCATTGATGAAACATCTCTACGGACCATCATTTTACGGGCCAATGGAAATCATAGTCTGTAACCTTTCACTCCACTAGCATATCCAAGAAAACGACATTTCTTGTACATAGGGTCTAACTTAGTCATGTGCTCCTTTGATGTAAGAGAATAGCAGTACAACCAAAAACCTTCAAGCGACTGCAATACGCCATACGTTTATGCCTGAATTCAAACCGTGTGGAGAAATTGATTGCACTAGAAGTAGAGAGGTTTACCAAATAAACTGTGGTGTTGACAGCTTGGGCCCAAAATTCTCCTGGTAAACCGGATTCGCTTAGCATACTCCGCACCTTCTCCAACAATGTTTTGTTGAGTATGTCAAAAACATCGTTTTGTTGGGGAATGTTTACTGTCATGAAGTGACAAGTAATCCCCTCCTATGTACGATACCTCTAAAACTCCTCAGAAGTATATTCGCCGCCATTATCCGATCGTAAATATTTACCCTCTTGCCAGTCTGAATCTAAACTTTTGTGCGTCAAGTTTTGAAGGTGAGAAAAACCTCAAACTTGTGGGTAAGAAAATATACCCACACATACATGGAGTAATCATACATAAAATATATTAGTAGAGCTTTACTGAGAGTGATGCAATTGGAGATGGACCCCAAACGTCACTATGTACATACTCTAGTATCTATGTGGAATCATGAGTTCCAACACTAAAAGCTCGCCTATGATGTTTTCCCATGATGTAGTGTTCACAAAATGCGAAATCAACTTTACCCAAACCCGGTAACTTTTGTTTTTCATTAAGAGACAAGTATCTATCACTCATATGGTCTAGTCTTACATGCTATAAATGAGACATCTCTACGCGAGATTTAGTAAAGTTAACTTCTCCACAAATTGTGATGAACTCTAATAAGTACAAATTATTATGCTTATATTTCCTAAGTATAACCTTCTTATCACTAGATTTGACATCTAACACTACATGCCTAGAGCTCCACTCTAAGCCGTGTAAGTCTAACACTCCAAAAGAAATCAAAATATTTTTCATGTTAGATATAAATCTAACGTGTGTCAGTGTTTGTTTGACACCATCAAACATGCAGATTTTTACACATCTCACGCCCTCAATTTTACAAGGTTAATCATTCCCCATAATAACAAAATCGTTTGATTTTGAGTAAATACAGATAACTCTCTAATGTAACAAATGTGATAGGAATAAGCACTATCCAAAATCCATACATCATCAACAACTGTTGATGAAATACAAAGGGCATACTTTATATATCATAGACCTGTAAGATCAGGTGTTGCACATATGTACTAAGTCTTAGAAGTGGTCAAGTGATTAAGGATAATTAGCCAAGGCATAGCTAAGTCTAGCTAGTTATGACTAAATTAGTTAGTTATAACTAAGTTTATCTAGTCATGACTAAGTTTAGCTATGATATCTACAGTTGGCGGAAGAATTAGCGGAGTTCTAGAAGAGTGGAGTGAGCACTTCTATTTTGTCTTCTAGAAAGGAGTGAGCACTTCTATCTTATCTTTTACAAAGTTCTAGATTCCAAAGTATTAGATATTTGACTAGAAGCTTGAATTTGATTGGTTTGACTCAATATATGAAAGATGATTGGCTAGACTAAGTCTAATGTTAACTTAGTGGCTAAGAAGTTTGTAGAAGTTTAAAAGCTTCCAATGGCATGTCGCCACTTCAACCTTGGATTCCGGAAACTTCTAGAAGGTTTAGGTAGGCCAATGGCATGTTACCACATAGAGAGTGTTACTTTTACATAGGTAAAAATAAATTAGTAAAAATTACCACATGTTACTATGGTAACTTCTCAAGTAGTATAAATAGAGAGGTAGAGTAGCATCTTTCAAGCAAGTTTGGAGAGTCATGTGTGAGGACTTGTTGCATATATGAAAGAATGACAATTTTCAGTACCCTGGAGTGTCGATGTGAGTGTGAGTTAGAGTGCTACCTTGAGTGATTGTGTGAGTGAGTGTTTCAGTTATGAGTGTGAAGATGAATCCTAGTCTTCTAGAGCCATGATGCGCTACCGCAAAGCCATCAGAGGTAAACCTCGGTGAGAGTCAGCCCGGAGGTTGCAGACCGTCGGCAAACACTTCTTTCTTTTCGGAGTGAAGATGCTCCGTAACATTCGCCAGTTGAGGGAGATTTGCATCTCCTACTATCATACGACAGTTCTTCTTGATGTGGCCATTCTTGCCACATCTCCAACACACCAAGTTCTTCAAGTTCCTATTATTAGACTATGGAACCCGAAATTGAGCTTAGATATACTCACATTGAATGCTGAGCTCAATGTGAGGCTTTGTGGATGTAAAGGTTCATGTACATCCTTTTTCATTATGTATTATAATTCTAATCTACTGATATTTGACCCATATTGTAAACTATGGAAGTATTGAATACTTCTCTATCACTAACTCATTACATATACAAGAAATCACATGTTCATGTTTGTTAAACAGTTTACAACTCTCTTACATTTTAGTCAAAATTTTAATTGAATTTTATGTCGTAATATTCTTGAACCTTAACTATATCAAACTATGCTTGAAATTATGCTCAACTCAACTTTAGCATTCTTCTTGTTTTGGATGTAATTTCTTTTTGCATAAATTTTTCTGCTTCAAGTCATTACTTCAAACAACTTTCAAGTAGAATGAATTTGATTGTTCATGTTTTTTTGAAAGCTCGATAATCTTAAACAAATCTATATATTATTATGAATATTATATTTTTGAAATCATCTTACTTATAATTCATGACCGATGAAGATAGTTATATGAATAGATAGGAACATTTTTTTATGATAACATCTTGCACTATATTATGTATAAAGTGTTGCTAAGATGCATAAACATTTGGATTATTATGTAAGAAATTAAATATAAATAAAAATTAGAAATAATTAATGAATTTCATTTTAAATTATTTTTGTGATTAAAACTAATTTTTTATAATTAATATATCACATTTTGATTTCATTGCTATAAATAATTAAGATAAATAAATAAATGAAATTTTTTGAGTTGTAGTGAAAGAAAATATATCAATTTAATATTTTGTTGTCATTCAAAAAAATAGAATAAAGAAATTAATTTATCAGATTATATATATATAACACATTCATTTCTTATCAATCACATCTAATATAGAAAAAAATATAATATACAAAGTTTGTACAGTTCATGTATTTGCAACAGAAAAAATTGACTATAAATTTTAAAATAAAAATTTACATGTGTTTCTACATTTTGAAATATTAAAATTTTCTGTATAGTTGATGAAAAAATTATGTTGCACATGTTATTTAAAATTTTCTATCAAATTTATCAAAAATCCTAATATTGATGCATTGTAGTATTAGCATTTGAAAAAAATTCTCTTAATGAATTTATTTTTCATAAAATGTAAAATTTTCTATTTGAATATAATTGACATATACACATAAATAACCAAGTGTAAATTGGCTTTTAATAAATCTATCAAACTCAATGTTGATTTTTCATTTCAATAATAATCTATACATTATCATCAAAAGATTAATATTTTATATCTATAAATAAATATATTTTTTAAAATTTTCATTTTCATGATATATATATATATGATATTGATTTACATATTTCTTAATTTTAAACTTACTTTTGTACTTTCAGGATTTCAATAAGTTGAAATATTTAAGATTTTATAATTTTTATCAACAAATAAAAATTTAAATATTTTTTTGAAAATTAATATAAAAATAAAATTTGCATTAAAAAAATATAACTCGATCTGATATTCAAAAACATAACCATAAATATTACTTTTACATGTAAAATTTTAAATACATATATTATTCCATAAATATTTTTTATATGTTCGAACAAAGTGTTATTTATTATTCATGTGAAAATATTAAGAGAATATTATAATAGGGTAACTGATTATCTTAGTAATTTATGTTAAAAAAGTTAAAATGTTATAATAAACATGCAAATATAGTGGATTATAATTTATATTAATTATAAAAAATTTCAGACATATGTAGAATCAAATAAATATAATATATCAAATAATATAATTATAATATCATATAAATTTTAATATGTCATATCAAATAAATCAAAAATACATTTTTTATATATAGAAATTCTATCACATTAACCTCTATCATATTCTGTGATACAGTTTAAATTTTGCATGATATAATTTGTATTCACATATTTTAACTAAAGTAGAATTAAGTTGATTTCAAATTGATTAACATAGTAAAGTTAATAATAGAAGTTTGAAAATATGAAGACTTGAAAATATTGTTCTAAAAAGTTAGTTCAAATTTTCATTCTCAGTCTTCAATTTCCAAAATTAATGAATAAGACCTTTACAACCATAAATCATTTAGTCAGCTAATTTGAACAATGTATTCTAAAAGTTCTTATATTTGTTCTTCATTATTATCTATATTTTTTACGAAAAAGGTAATTTCACTCGATCTATAGAAGAATATAGAGTTATTATGGTCACTCGGGATGTATAAGCTTAAACAGGATAAATTCAGTAATTTACAAGAGTTTTTTATTTCACATTATGATAAGTCGTTTGTCAACATTTCCGGATAGGCACATATCTTCGAATAAAAACGTCAACGCTAAGACCTTAATTAAAAAAAGAGGACTCCCGTGCCATGTTTCAGGGCGGGAGGATATGGCGACGAGAGGAAACAAAACTCGTGAGAGATGGCAGGAATGAATGCAAGGCCCGGGAAGTGTGCGCCTTCGGGGCACACGATCACGATTCTGAGAAGGGAGGGAGAATTGAACATTGGGCGAGCAGAACATCGCCTCGGACGAAGGCAGGCGCGATGAAAATCTCGAGAAAATGCAGCGAAAATCGCATGGCAACCACGCGAAAGAAAGGAGCAGAGAGGAGAATGGAGCATGCACCTCGCCTCATGTGCCCCACCTTATCCGGAATTCCAAGGCAGACGCCGTGCTGCCGCTGCTACGGAAACAAATGAGCACACTGTAATGCCAGAGGCGCTCCAGAGTCCAGATTCCAGAGGCAGGTGTGAACCCTGTGGCCCGTTCTGACAGCCGAGCGCCGAGCAGCAGCGAGAGAGAGCAGGCAAGAAAACCAGAGGCGGCATGGAGCAGACGAGGAAGAAGAAGAAGAACAGAAAGGAAGAAAGGAAGGAATGAATAAAGGAAGGAAGGAAGGAGGGAGGGAGGGATGGATGGATTGTGCAGTGCTCTGGTCGGGCTCTGGTGGAGAGAGTGCAGGCCAGTGAAATGGCGTAGATAAGGCGAGCGAGTGTTTCGCCGGTGGAGCTGCGGCTTGGGTGTTTGCGTTGCTTTCCGCAAGTGCAGGCAGGCGGGCAGGCACGCAGGCAGAGGAGAGGCAGTGGCACGGGCCCAAGGGCCCAGACAGGCAGCGAGCAACAGCGTAACAGCACAGCAGAGGCAGCAGAGGCGAGCAGAGCAGAGCAGAGCAGGCCAGGGCCGCGCAGAGGAGATGAGAGGAGAGGAGAGGAGAGTAGAGAGAAGAGGAGCAGTTGCCTTTAACTTATCGCGATTCCGTGCTATCCTCGTCGTCCGTCGTCGCGTGCCCTCAAACACAAACAGCGACAAGCCAGCCGAGAAATCAGATTGATTCCTTTCTGTCTCTTGCTCTCTCCGCAAGAGAATAATGCCTCCAGTCGCTCAGTCGCCCGCGTCGTGAACACGGAGAGACCCGAGAGAGGGAGGAGAGGAGAGGAGAGGAGAGGCGAGAAGGAGAAGGAGAAAGAGGGAATGGAGGGAGCGAGGAAGGGGGCAGGGTCTGGATGTAGCCGTGTCTTGTTCTGCCGCAAAGAATCGAGTTGTGTCGAGTGCGGAAAGAGGTGGGGATTGGGCGGTGGAGGAGCTGTTCAAAGGACGCTGTAGAAGAGTGAAATACGGCTCAAGGGCGCAAGAACGGAAGTTGGCTGTAGCAGCCGAACAGAGCAGGTCTTGAATTTGTTCGAGGGAGCGATCGAGCGCGCGAGAGCGTGGATTGGCCTAAAGAATCCTGAAGTCGGCCGGACGACGGATCCTGTACAGAAGGCGGGTGATGGCGGTGGCGATGGCGTTGCTGCAGTGAGGAATGTGGCGCTGGAAGAGCGAGAGTTGTTGATGAGAAGGAGGTGGAGGAGAGTGGGGAGGACGGTGCACTGGTTGTTCATATTGCAAAGATTGTAGAAATCGGCGGGGATGGGGTTTATGTGGAGGAGGCGGGGAAGAGATTGATCGCGAGGAGGAGGAGGAGGTTTGAGGATTTCTGTAATTTTTGTTCTTGGGGAGGCGGAGCGGAGGAGGGGATCGGAGAAGGGGATGATGGAGAGGAGTCGCGGATGGACGTGCGCAGGAGGCAAGAGAGAGAACTGCAACGCGAGGCGCCGTCGGCCTCAGCTCCAGCATCAGCTTCAGAAGGGGACGGCGTGGGGCTCGTCAGCCTGCAGGTCAGCGGCGCAATGACCTATGGATTGGAAAGATCGCGTTCTGCGAGACGACGGGGTGGGAAGCTTGGGTTCCGCCTGCGCAAAGCGTGTCTGTGTGTGTTCTTCTCCGGGGTCTTCTGCTTCAGCATCCTGCAATGGCTTCTCTCCTTCCCTCCGCCCCTGCACAAGCGCCCTCTTGTGAACGCCTGCCCCAGCACCACAGGCGTGGACACTCCCTACCTGCTGTATGACGATGCCGTCTGCTCTCGAGCTTGCGGCAATCAGTGCTTCCCGAGGGTTCGAGGCATGTGCATCGCGCATTCCGAGGTGGCAATCTGCGACCAGTCCGACAGGCTGGGCGGACGGGGCCGAGGCAAAACGAGAACCCCCATCCCTTCGCACTTGCGCTTCGCAGGCGCAGATCCAATGACGCGCAGGCGAGTGCCCATACGACGGAAGGCGTGCAGTGGCGATTTCCGCGACAAGAAATGGATCCGAGGCACGCAGATGGTCGCCGACATGAAGATGATGCCGGCTGGGCCTCACGTAGGCCCGAACCCGCATCACGAAGCCGAGAAAATCGTACCGGCCATCCTGCTCTCGCACCTGTACGGGCTCAATAACTCCTCGCTGTACTGGTTCACGGACCCTGTACCCAGCATCACATCGCGCTGGTCAATAGGATTGATCGCTGCATTCGCTGACGGGTTGGAAGTGAAATTCATGGATGCGCCGGACGCCGGAGAGCCCGAAGTGTGTTTCGAGGACGCCATTCTCTTCTCAGGAGTGACCAATGCAGGGTACATGCCCACCGTAGCTGCCAACGACTGGCTCAGGCGAAAGGTGCTCGCCCACTGTAAGATTCCGGAGGTCAATGCCAAAAGGCCTGTCAAAGACGTCGTCGTCATTCAAAGGAACAATTCGTCCAGGACCATTGCCAATGCGGAGGAAATTGAGCGTGTATTGGAACGGGAGTTGCGCGTACCTGTGAAGCATACGGTCAGTGGACTGGGGAACTTCTGCGAACAGGCGAAGCTGGTGGCAGAGGCAGATTTTTTCGTGACTCCTCACGGTTCCCACAACATCAATTTCTTATTTGCACGCCCGGACTCCATAATTTTGGAAGCGTTTCCTCTCCTTTACTACATAGATTGGTTTCACAATTACGTCCATGCCTCGAGGGTGAATCACTACGAGCTGTATGGAACCTGGCCCACTGACCAAGGGGGAATGCCACTGCGAATGCGAATCTACGCTCTTTTTGTTGGCTGGAGGTACTGCTTTTCATTTAGACAGTGCATGAATTATACGAAGAAACAAAAAATATTTATTGATGTCGACCAACTAGAGTGGTTGTTACACGCACTCACAACCAGCTGCCGAGTTGCTGTAAAGGGTTCATGGTGTCTTTCTGCTGGCACTCAGAACGCTGCTCTTGTTCTCTAGTGTTAGGTAGTCGGAGTCTTCCAAGTTCATTGAAGACTTTTAGTTCATTCTTGTGGTTTTAGCCAGCCACACAAAGCAAGCAGCCTGTTACGTCCTGCGAAAAATTCACGGTTTCAGCAATTTACACTTGCAGAGAAAACTTGGTGTATGCAAACCTGGTGTAGAATTTTTACGGATTTTCTCCTTTTTTCTTTCTACTCCTCTTGTCTTTCAGGTTGAGGATCAATTTTGCCTTCCTTCGGGAGTCTCAAGAGCATTTGGTCATCAGAGCTGTCTTCGTCTTGACTCTGAGTTGCGCTTCTCGGATTGTTATTCTGCAACTGCACTGGATTTCTGATGTCAGGCACACACGATGTAACAGCCTGTTCAAACAACTGGGGCCTGTGACCCGCTGAATGTTGTCTTTTTGGCCTCAGAGCAACACTCCAGCAATCCATTGGCTTCCCGTGGCGGACCTGAATCTGGTCCACACGCTGAACAAACAGTACGAGCAATCCCCTGAAACGCTGCTCGTGACGGTCGGAGGGACCAGAAAATCTAGTATGACCGGGAAATTTGGTTTCTTCATGTCTAGCTAGTCGAATATAGAAGAGAGAGCTTACCCAATCGGCAAGAAGATCCTTGCCAGTATCCGTTCAGTCTTCCAGTCCTCCAGTCACTGCCACTGCAACGCCACTGCAAAATACCTGCTTCTCGAGCGAAACTTCGAAATTTGTTTGTTAGGCCATACCGTCCTGTAGCCGCAAGGCTGAATCTCAGATACATTCACAGACAGTGCAAGTTTACGTTGCACAGAGCAGTCGGGTCTTGATATTGGCTTTGTTCATAATTTTCTGAACGTAGTCTTACACTCTGTTGTGTGAAGAGGGACGAAGCTTTTTGTTCGTCAGCGCAAGACCAGTGGTATCGAATATGTATCTAGCCCCGGGTCCGAGTTGTACTCACACAAGGCTCGGCTAATCGTCCATAGCCTTTTTCGTTTTGAAACTCCTGATGTGCGAGTGGAGAATCTACAGCCAGCGGAAAATTCCAGCCGACCACTTTCTCATCATTTCATCACGTACGAGATCAGAAGTCCGGCCTCGAGGACGATGTTGTAGACGGAATTTGAAGCATTGCGCTACTCGGAGACTCGTTCACAAGAGGGTCAGTGCTTGTTCTCCAAAAGCCATAAAACGACCAATGCGAGAGCGTAAGCGATCGGTAGAGTTCGCGCTGGGGAGTTGACCACAAGAGGTGCGGATGGACTACCCCGTGTACGAAAGTCACGACTGTTGAGACTGATCCATATCCGGGTGCTGTTTGACACGTTTGGCACGTGAAGTCGAAGTGGATCGAGGGGTAAGTACTGCTCAAGTCCAAATTGCTTCTTACTACTGAGAGAAACCTTTTGAACTCCGTTAGCAGTTCAAAGTGTTACCAGAAAAGTGTATCACTCGTGTGGAAATTTTCTACCACTCTGATAGGGTTTATGATTCTTAACTCAGAAATTTTTTATTGGGTGCGGTAAAGTGCAGGAAAGATTGTAGCAGGCAGGCAGCGCATCAATCGCCAGCGAAGGACGCAGGCCCATTGCAACCGGACTCATGATTCGATGCTTTCTCCAGTTTCAGTTGACCCGACCTGTCATACTGCTGAAAAAGCACGTCCTGAAAAAACCTGTCCCGGCCCTTGTGCCTCGTTGTGCAGCTGCGAGCATACGAGGCAGTTCGTCTTGCGCGGGAAATGGGTCTTCGCATGTTACAGCTACGCGAGGCTACGTCACACGCTCTACTGAAAATACCACGTGGAGAGCATCTTTCTCTGGGCATCTAATAATAAATATAAGGGCCCATAATTTTAAGAGATATTCATGTGTACATGCAAGCCAGCGTTTCCAGGCATTTCGCGCAGGAAATACTTCATGTCCAGACATTCAAATATGTAATATCCTCAACCTGCTGCTCGACTGCGGATGAGAGAACATTAGGAAACTACAAGACATGACGTCGTTCAAAAACAGAGAAAGGTGTGAAGTAGTCTAGTAAACCATGAGACTGGAAAGCACGATGAAACTACCGTCTCTGGCCGTGTGAAGTGAGGGCATGTTATACTTGGTAAGATGGCTCTGCGTATTCGTGCAGTCAAACTGTGTATCAACCTGACTTGTAAGTGGACATCACTCGGTTTCATCGGGTGGGGGAATTGGGAAGATGTTTGTTAATGACGGGAACTTTCTCCAACATCATATCTGAAAAATTTAAAACTCTTCAAGCTCGGTTGCTTTTGAAAACCGGTTGAGAACTCCCATCATCCTCTGATGACTCTGGCTGTGGCAGCACCCTATGTGAAGGTATGATCGTGAGGCTATGAAAATGGACCATCATGAATGAATGTGATGAAAACATGAAATTTCATTGCAAAACCAAAGGTCTCTCGAATCAAGAAACAAGACGGCCCGAAGCATAAGATTGGAGAAGTCAAAATGACCGAACAGTGCTATCAGTCAGCTCTGAGCTGTAAACAGTATCAAAATAGAGAAGATTTCTGAGCATGCACGCAGACTTGATACATGTACAAGATTCTTATGCAAAGTACTCCATGGCGTGTTCTTTCGAACAGAAAGCCAGTTGCTTGTTAACCACAAGCTGGACCAATCTTTTGATCGGGCATCGTTTGGATTTTCTTCTCAAACATCATCCATGTGGTAGTGCTCAAAATGCCAACTGCTTTTGTCGACCCTTTCGGCACAGGCTTTCAGCTGCTGCTCAGGCGTCAAACCCATCCAAGCTACAGTTTCTTAAGACGACAAACTGGAGCCATCAACTTGTCGTTGTCTCAATCTAGACCAATGTCACTTGCCAGGCCAGTTGCATACAGTCCGACATAAGGATGTTTTAAATCTCTCACATACAGTTTTTTCCATTGTCCTCATAGTATGACAACTAAGAGCACAAAACAAATTGCATTCTCACAGAATACTCCTGGGTCAATAGAATTAAAATCTAAACCATAATGAGCAACATGTCAAAGCAGTGATGCAATGAAACAAAAAACATAAGAAATAATACAATCTTATCGACACAAGAAGGTGCCTGTCCTACCCTCTGGTAATAGAGCACATTACAGGGAAGCCTCACCCGCAACGATTAACTCTTCAACCCAGAGGCAATGGTATGTACAATTATTTTGGTGAGCCCCTAGGAGATTGGTACATATTATCCTTCAGAACCTTTGGTTACACTTTGTGTGACTTTCGTCAATGGTCATATAATAAATTGCCAAAATGGTCGGTAAGAGAACTCCTGGTAACACTAACGGAAGGCGCACGTGCTACCTTTCACTGGGAGATTCTTTCGGCTTGCCGCGAATTAGTCCTCTCTCCTGAAGGTGACAAGACAACAATCTGACACATCATAAAACTACTCATCTTTTGCACCTTGAGAGAAACCTCGGGAGTAATTTCTTGTCACTCCTGACCTGTTATAGATCTAATGTAAGTGAGCAATGCTCACACCATGGAAGCATCAATCACTTCAACGATAACCCGGTGTTTGAGCTGATACAAGGAAAAGCTTAATTTACAATACCTGTACTGTATTGAAGGTTTTCAGAAACACGCCTGAGATTATAATTTTAGTTAAATAATAGACGAGTAAGTTATCAGACAACAATTCGTCTAGGGAGAAACCATACGTTGAAAACCTCGAGCCTTCCTCTTGCAGATTTCAGCACATTGAATCCAAACTCCAACTAAAACCCTAATCCTATAGAACAATTAGTACTTCAATTCAAAAGCTTTTATCTTACCTGGGGATCAGCGGACGGTCTTGTTCTCTCCACATAACGATGCAAATCTGCCTCTCTCCGCAGTATAGCTCTAGCCTGAGAAAACAGATACAATTCAATTAGATTTCCTCTTCAAAAGTTTCAGAATGTACACATGCATGCAATCTAAACTCCTATATACATGCATTGTTCGATGTTTTGGAATCGCAGGAACTGGTGCAGGAAAGAAACGAATCGAAGCACTTGTTGGCATCCACGACTTCAACTGGAGCCAATTGCCACTAAATATTGTCAACCCATAATAGAATGATATGGATATAATAGATACTTCTACTTGGGAAAGCTGCAAGAAATATCGCCTTCCCCCTCTGAAAGATAGATGTAATTTTCGAGGAAACTGAGGTTCTTCCACTCCATAATATCCAGAAGGATCGGGTCGTAGAGTGTGGCGGATAGAGGAGATGAGAAACACACAAACCTCTTCTTCTCTCATGGCATCGCGTTCGGGTTTGATCCACAGGAAATACGCAGCGGTGCAAGCAACAACCCAAGCGGCCGCGTTTTGACGTCCTCTAACACCTCCCAGCGCATTTCCCACGAAAGATCCAATGTTGCCTATGATCGTACTCCTTGCCATCGTTCCTTAGCGACTCTCAGCCGGATTTGCTCCTCGTTCGTGACCAAATCAAAACCAATCCACGGTCTTCAACATGGATCTGCCTGCCCGGTCTAGTCTACTGAATCTTGCAATTCCACGCACAGCACCAGGGGAGTCTCGCGAATTTTGCCTCAATCAGGTACTCTGTCACCAAATGGTGCACGGAAAACGCACGCAGCTCGAATTTGTCATCGATCGGAATATTGGTGACTCCAGACACGACACGTCCCCGCTGCTCTGCAGTTCCTCCTGAATTTCAGTGAGCCCAAAACGAACACTCTCATGTATCTGTATATTTGATACATTTCACCGAATCATGATTTTTTAATAAAACTTTCTGATCGATCATTTTCTTTGATAACATTCTATAGTTTCGCAGAGGTAGTAATACAAAACAATGCGTCGAAATTGTACATAATTTTACAATCGATCAAAGTCAATATTTTTCTACGGGAAAAAATCTACTTTATACATAAAAAAATTCATATTTTCATGAATTAGTTTTGATAACAAAATTTCAAATGAAATTCGAAGAATAAAGTGCAGTCAAGATAATTCTTGAGATGTTTTAGATATTAATATGTAATCATTATTTCATAAACTTAATAAAATACCAACTGAAACTCTTGAAATCTGTAATCCGAATATTGTATTTACTTTGATAATTTGATATTTAATCTATTTATAATATTATTATATAAGAATGATATCTAGTAAATTAATAATATTATAATAAAATATCTAAATTCATCATTATTATTTCATTATATTACAAAAGTCTCATTTATTGATAACAGAGGTGACATATTGTATAAAAAATATATTACAATGTTTCAAATTTAAGCAAATTAAGTATGTTTTGCAGGTTTCATAAATTCTAGCAAATGCCAAGTATGTCATAATTAAGATATTTTTAGCAATTTTTTTATTTAATTTTAGCCTTATTAACCTGAACACTTTCATTTCACTATTTTTGATCCAATGTCTTGGCAATAAGCATTTTGAATTACTTTATATCCAACTCGCTAAGGAAAGAATTGGCAAGCTAATGCGAGTAGTTCTTTTCCTATTTGATGATAAAGAAGTAATTTTCAATTGATGTCGTATTTGGAAATGATGTTGCTAGTCCACTGCACAACTTAAGCAAATGCATGATGCAAACTTCAAACAATTTCATGCATCGTTGAACAAAGTCTTCTTGTCATGTTTGTCAAGGTATTTCTTCACATCCGACTTACGCGCATAGACAACAAGCACGTTATGGCGTTCACTTTTGGCCTTATCAATCATACTACTTGCTCTAATGCTTGCTCAAATGCGCAAGATATTGATGAATAGTGCATGACGCATCTTGACTAGATACCATAGCATCACGTCACGTGGACGTTTTCAATTCCTTGTCATTGTTGTTGCAACCACGCTATGTCTTAATGTGCAATTTGTTCTCTACAATGGAAAGCGAGAAATTACAAATCTACTCCAATATTTGTTGCTGTTCATTTTTTAAAAGCTCGTTATACAGATTCTGTACCCATGAACCTTGGTTGCAGATGTGCATGATAACAGAATTGTTTGTGAAAAATGAACCATCTTGCTGGAAGATTGTATTGTAGACAATTTTGTTGAGCATAACATCCGCAATAGAACAAATGTCAAAACTTACCTCGATGTCTACCATCAACTTCGACAACTCTTGATGCTTCTTAGACATGATCAATTTTGAAGAATAGATCCAGGAGATGATGTCGACAATACGTTCAAAAAGACGGAGTTAGATCTGTTGCAATGATCCACCATTGCATGAACGACGCTTAAACATGTCGCTTGTCGGCCATGTGAATCATCGATCAACGACAATGTTCTAGGAGCTTGCATGAAATATTACCGAATGCAATCCACTTTGTTTGTCAAGATGAAAACACGTTATCAAGCAATTTTTTGATGTGTCTGACATAATTTTGAGTAATGGGCTGTTCTAAGAATAAAACCAGCATGAGCTAGAATTTTTACAACACGTCATTCACGCACACGCAAATTCGCTGATCAGGAATACAAACTTTCATATGGATGTTTGCAGCAACATCTAGAAAAAATGCCAAGATCATTGAATTCATGAAAATATTGGAGTTAATCTGCAGGGTGAAGAAAAGGAGAATAATCACAAACTAATCCAATATGTCATCGTTGAAGCCGTACAGTTTCAAATTGTTGATTATGGCACGATGATGCTTAATCATCTTGGAAGTTTATCAAAATGACAATCCAACAAAAACGTGATGCATGACAAGGTGAAAATTACTTGATGATATTATATGTAATATAAAACATTTTGTGGATACATATACGTATCATTTTACCCAATATGATACATTCTAATGACCTTCAACCACCATAATCTATGTTCCAAACAAAGGTATTGTAGATATAAGGTTTATGCGATATAGTGCGAGGAGTAATTGCGATATCAAATCACTTTGGTTCAATCTTTGGCAAAGACTAATTTTGTGCCTTAGACATGTAACGAATTCTGATTTTTAGCTTCTATTAAAATTTGTATGTGTTTTTGTTTAGATGTGCAAGATAGAGACTGCAAATGCATTTCGAACCTTGTAGCAGATCAATCACATCTAGAATCTGTGTTCTGAAAATCCAAGAGACATGATTAGATCAATAATGTGACAATTTTGCTATAAAAATGAATTGTTAAGACCGATAATAATCCAATAACGTCATTGTTAGATTTTCATAACACATATCAACAATGTGTAACAAAAAGAATTATTAATGTCAATGTGCAGATTATGAGTGAAAAAAATGTTGCAACACTAGGGTTTAGAGAGAAGTTCACTCAAAGATGAAACATAAATTCTCAAGATAAGATAGTTTGAATGGTTATAATCTCCATTATATATATAGAAATTTCAAACATTTATACAAAGGCAAAGATTTTTCTCCATCATCCAATTCATTCCTAGTGGATTGATGACATGACGGATAAACCGAATGAGCACACGGATTTCTAACATGTCACATCCAATGAACAAACTAGCACACTTAATCCTTACCTAACAAGCACACAAATTGATAATGTGTCGTTTCCAACTAACTCACAAAATAGCACACAGATTGCTGACATGACACTGAAGATATTCCATTATCATCTATTCTGCTCAAGTTGAAACTAAAGTAAACTTTACTTTAGTTTCAACTTACTATAATTGGTTACAAACTATAACAAAAACTTCACCGTATTTTCTAAGATTTTGAGCAATTAATGATTTTTTGATTTTAAGTATGCATATATTGTCTACTAATATATATGTATTCAAATATGAAGTGTCAAAAAGTTGAATTTGTTTTGTGTTAGATAGCAAGCGATCCTCTATGCAACCAATATTTGTTTGCGGTCTATCTTGTCCAAATCACTTGCTAAAAGTTCTTGACTAATTTGGATCAGTGGCAATTTTTTCTTCCAACTTGGATTGTTGTTGGTGTATCCAATACCTCAATCGTTATTGAAAAATTAGGATTACAATATGTGCTGTAAATAGAGTTTTTTTGGGTAAAATTATACTTGTAAGATTCCAATATGCATGTTGTGTTATGCAAAGATTCCATCAAGTAATTTTTTTCATTTCAAAGTTTAACAAAAAATAGGTTTTAATCGTCACCACGTAAGTAACATTCTGCTACAGTTTGAACAATTTCTTTGTTGACCTTGATGATGAATATGTATGCATCGTGTTTTTCATCTTCATCCTAATGAAAAGATGAATCTCCCACGAATACATTTATAATTGCAAACCGCAAAATAAAACTGAAGAATGTCCTTGTCCGTGTCCAAATAACAATAAATGTCAAAGATATTATTTTGTCTTGAAAAAGTTGATTTTTCTCTGATGCAAAAGCAATTGAAAACTAGTTGAATCTTTAGGTTGTTGAGATTCGTTACTTTTATTGGCATTGAGACAAACAGAAATTGAAACAACTATGTGTTTTTGATTTATTTGCGCTTCACATCGTACCACTAATATTTTTGGCAATTCATTTGGACACAAAATAGATATTGAACAACTATGATGTTGCCTTCAGATTGTTGAATTGGTTGAAGATCATATTTCATTGCATGTTTGATTTGACACAATGTCTTTTAGGGTTTATGGATTTGACTCATGATAGTATGCAAATGTTTTGCTATCATTCTTAACTCTTCACTTTCACGAGATTGATTGATTGGATGTTTGACAAAGTAACGTCAGTCGTCTTGATCCCTCTATTTTAGCCAAGTAAAAATGCACAATAATGGAAATAAACATGCTACACATATGAGATTCAAGAAAAAAAGTGAAAATTTTTTGAATTGCATATTAAACCTTTTGTATTAGCCAAAAAAGACATACAATAATCAAAACAAACATGATATAGAGATGATATGAAAGAATAAAAATGGAAAAAAATATGATATGTACTTGGATCCTTCTATTTCAGTCAAGAAAAGACAAACAATGATCAAAGCAAATATGCTACAAAAATGATAGAAAAAAGTATGAAAGAAAGATATGAAATGTACTATAACTGTATATTGAAAAATCTTTTTACTTCTTTTCTGCACAACTTGCTCTCCAATGCTGACTTCCTACGACTAAGAATTTGAGCAACATACTCTGAACTTAGAAGCATGTCAAGGTTAGAACTCCATGTGGCATAGCAATTGGCAATTCATCAACCAAATCAAGCACATACAAATTACCACACTCTTGTAGAATATTCAACTGACTGCAGCTATACTGTCATTATACTTTACTTTACTTCATTTTTCTGCTCAATTACACTCATAGACTTTGTATCGTGAGCACGCTATCTTATTCTAATTCTCTCCTCTTTGTCTTTTCCTTCAAGCTCCCACATGCTTTGCAACTATAGGAATGTACAAGAATTTTTACTCCGATCTGCAGTCCTTATAACGTACGGCATATTAGGTAAATTGATTATGTTAGAATGTCCTGATCAATTTTGACAAAGTTAGCGTCAAAAAATAGATCGCCAATATTTAGGAGTCATGATGTTGTTTGATATCATTACCAACTATGAGGTTGATTAGAAAAAAATCTTTTCGAAGGATAATCATTGTTGTAGCTACAACTATCCAATTTATATGCATATGATATATTTTTTTAATATGTACAATTTTGATTGATATTGAAAATTACATATGAGTTAAAAGATTTTATATTCTTTAGATTAAAGAGTAGATTTTAG